TACGTAACAATGGCAAGCTCAGCAAACTTTTGCTGTCATGGAAACAGCCATGAGGATGCTGTTATGATTATAAAAACCATCACAGTTTCATTATGCTTTGCTGTGTTTTGATTAAGTTTAGGAATTCAATTCAATTTTGTTTGTATGGCACCAAATCAGAACAAAAAAATCATCTCAGGGAGCTTTACATAGTAACCTTACAGTCCTATAGAGACAAACCCAACAAACCAGCTTTGAGCAAGCACCTGGTGATGGTAGAGAGGAAAAAACCTCCTACAGACCACGGCCCTTGGTGGGGGACCTTCTGCCTCGACCGGGTGGGGTGAGTGGACAGAGGAGAGAGAAAAGAAAGGCATCAGGACACAACAAACAAAACAACAAACAAATAAACAAACACTGGGCAGGTTGAGCCAAGGATCCCTGCAGAAAGGCAGCAGTCTGGGCCTATAGCAGTATAACTAAGGGAAGGCTCAGGTGACTCTGAGCCTTCCCTAACTATAGGTCTAACCTTAAAGGTAGAGAGGGTGTCCCGACTGAACTCCTCTCACTTAGGGGGCCATCTTGTGCTTTGTGTACCCAGCCATCCACCCCAGCCTCCTCCCAACAGTGACTTTCTGCCTCTATATACTGTGTTAGGTATTTTTAGTCAGATAGAAATTGGATAGATACTTTATGTATTAGAAATGTTTAGTGGAGATAGGATGTCTAGTTAGACTGTTAAATGCTTAGTCATGCTTATGAGTTTCTACAGGGTACATCTGGTCAAGGATAACTAGAGAGAAGAGTTGATGACTGTCAGCAGACAGGGTGTTTAATATTATTATTATGACGTGTATAACTGTAGCCTTAGCCATAATATGTTCTTATGTTTAATATCACGACATGTTACTAGAGGTCGTGAGAATGTTTTTAGCTACACACCACTTAATCAACAGACACACACACATTGATTTGCTTCATGTTTTGACTACTGCTATGACCAGCTGCAAAGCTGGTAACAGAGACGTCTCGGTTGACGTTTCTGTGTAGTATGGGGCTAGCCCAACCGAGGGGATATAATGTATAGGCCTGGTGGGTTCAGGGTCTTTCATCTTACATCTGCCTGCGAGCAGTTTGGAGGTGCAAGATACCTGAGCGTGTAATGTTAATTTTACCTGTGATCCTTTGAATAAACCAGCACTGTTTTGTAGTTACTTGGACTGTCTCGTCTCTCAGCGTTAGCAATGGTAACAAGAACCAAAGACCAACAACTATGTCATTACACCTTTTCTCATGTCAAGACTGCTATAGTTGCTAGAAGTCGCCAAGCCATAATACGTAACTGCTGGTCATATTAACCTGCTGACACAAATGAGCAATTGGGCATTTTCTGTAAATCAATTCTCAAAGTGCTACGTTGCAGTCAGGCATCATTATAACAGCAAGAATTACTGTTAATAATAGGTTAACATGAACCCCCACAACAAAACACAGTGTAATTCAAACCAAGGAAGCAGCTACCTTAATTATCCTACTGTTATTGCAACCGGATGTGGATCAGCAGAAAGTGCTGCATTGCTGGAGCTTCAGTCACGTTTTACAGCAGCACCTGCAGCACTTCCCAGAACAGTCTGCTTCAACAGTCCCTGTTACCTGAGTAAATATTCTAAGGAAAAACTAGATTCGCCTTCAAACCCCTGGGGCCACATGTTCAAGCTTTTGTTGGTGTGTGTGTGTGTGTGTGTGTGTGTGAGGAAAAGAGGTTTGATATGAGACACGGTGGTGAACTGAGCTTTAAGGCAGGTGTTTTATGTCACAGTCATATAACACGTTCATTTACATGTACTCCCCCACTGTGCACACATTAAAATAACAAGGAGTGAGACATCTTACACTGATGACATCTTTATTTAAAAAGTGAAAAATAAACAAGAGTGGTGTTTGGTATCATGGCCCAGTTCTTTTACACTTTTCACGTTGCAGCCTGGTGGGTTGGGAAGAGCACACACTTGTACCCTTTCACCCACACTTGCCTGTTTAGTTCATGTTGAACTGTTATATTAATCAAATGACCTTCACCTGTA